TTCTCGGCGGAGGAGGAGAGGACGGTGATTGATCTCCAGGCGCAATTTGGGAACAAATGGGCGAAAATTGCGACCTACTTGCCGGGGAGAACGGACAATGACGTGAAGAACTTTTGGAGCAGCCGCCGGAAGAGATTGGCCAGGGCGGCCGCCGCTTCCAAGCAGCCTCAGCAGCGGCGGAGAGACTGCACCGCCAGTGTTAAGCCGCCCGCCGGAGTAGGCGGCGTAGTTCCGCCTCCCTCTCCTCTTCCACCATCTCACGACACGGTATGTATGCGTACAAATTCTCCAACTTTATTTCTCTATTGTTGTTTGCTTGCTTTAATTTTGATGCTCCGTAATATTTTTTAAATATGGTTCATCTATCGAATATAACATAACTTATATCTTGTTATCGAGTATAAAGTAAGAGCAAAAATAAAAAGTAATATCAAAATTAAACTTTTTAGGGTGTCTTTTTTTGTTTTTTTGAAAAATTTTATGGAAAAGAGAAAGTATTTGATAAAATAATATAATTATGTTTTTGTAAAATGTTTAGTATTGTTTTAAAATAATTTACAAATTTTATATTTGAATCTGCCTCAATTTTAAAATAATTCTGATTAAAAATATCTTAAGTCAAATATTTTTCAGGACAAAACTATTTTTTAAGGCGGGACAATGCAAATCTTAAAGAAGGAAATATACTCCCTCCATCCCCAAAATCCTTTCTTTTTCTTTTTGTACTTGTCCCACAAAATCTTTCACGTTTCTATTAAAAAACTACTTTTATCCTTACTAATTCTTAATCTATCTATTAGATTATACCTTTTTGCTAGTAATCTACACATCATATTCTACTTTTAATCATAACATCAATGATATTTTTGGTAAGTCAACACAAAAATATCTCTTATTAAAATTTTCAAAAAGTCAAAATGAGAACATTTTTTAAGAACTAAAGAAGTACAGTAAAATTTTGAGTTTATACGGAGTTTTTATAATCATTCCCATCATCCCACTATCTTACCCACTATCCTAATTGCGGCATTGGGAGATGACATGCATTTTACGAAAAAAATAAATTGTACTTGGTCCGTCCTTGAGTGTTTGTCCACTTTTGACCTTTGGAACTGTTCATCTAAGCACTTTGACTCATCAAATTCTCTCAATGTGTAAGCCTAAAAATAGTCATGTGTGATCTTGTTTGATTCGTCTTAACATATAGATTATTAATATATAATTTTTATAATTTTTTAATATAAAAATTACAAGATAAAATGGATTAAAGAAGTGCATTGGATGGTGTGCAAAAATGAAAGTGGACAAACACCCAAGGACGGAGTGAGTACGTGCTTAACATTTAAAATGCTCCGTGTAGAGTAGCGCAGGGATAAAGTAAGAATATAGCTAGGAGTGTTTATTTTGAACTGCACGGTGAAAAATGGTTTATTGTGTAATTGATATGAAGGTCTAGAATAGTGAAATTCTTTAATTTAAAATAGCATATTACGAAGTAATAAAATGAAAATCTTTTCGTGAAATTTCCTTAAATGGTATTAAAATATAGTGATTTTTTTTATGTAATACGATATGTTTTTATTTCTCATTGTAGCAGTACTGATTATTGTTTAAGTAAATGTCTACCGCCACTGGACATTGTTCAAACTAAATGTCCAGCATCACTGGACATTGTTTCTGTTACTAGACATTAATCAAGTAATATTGGGATAATAAAAATGTTTAGTACTACATTGGGAAATGACATATATATTTTAGTAATCCGTGCTATTTAGTGTAAATTTCATAATTTTTTCTTGGGGTGACGGAGGGACAAAAAATATGAAACCGTAAACAAAGAGTACATTTTTAACTCAAAATTAAATTAATGCAGGGAGAGGTGGTAGTAACACCGAGCGAGTTGTTGGGACCCACAACGACAAGAGATGAAGGAAAAGAAGAGCCATATTGGTGGGGGTGGGGATGGGGGTGTAAGCCTTCCGATGACTACCACTGTACATATGGGGATAATAATAACTTTGAGGCAGCAGCAGTCCAAATGGTAGACCTAATGAACAACAACAACAACAACAATCCATCAGCATCAACTCTTTCTTATTATTCATTCCCTTTTGATCATCATGATCAAGAGCTGCTAGGGCTGGACGACCCCCTCCTTCCCTTCCTGCAGCCTTTACCTCACCTCCTCCAACATGATGGTGATGATGATGATTTTGAACACTATCATCATCATCATCATCGTCCAGATAATCTCTCCTCCATTGACGCTTTCGGGGACGACGCCAAGGAACCACAGCCGCACTGCGTCGCGGTGAAGCATGAAACCGCTGATAATGATGCCACCGCACCCGACAACAACAACCACAACAACAACGATCTTCTGATGAGGAAGAGTCCAGACAGCTTCATTGATGACTTCCCCATTGACATGTTTGACAACATTGAACATCTCCCCAGCCCCATCTGATGATCTTACTTTTCTTACTATTTGTTTCTAGTTACCTAAGTAATTACTTACTTCTACTAACGTAACCATATATATATATATATTGCATGCACGCTTTCTGCGCATGCACATTCACCTAGTATAATTTATTTTGAGTTGGTATATGGTACATCCCGGTAGTACTCATTCTGAAATAAAGTAGTACTCATTCTCGTACAAATATAAACATTCATTTCGAAATACGTAGTACTCATTCTGGAAAAGTTGTACTCATTTTAAAATAAAGAAGTACTCATTTTTACACATTTGTCTAATATAATTATAATAAATAGCGTAGTGTGCATTCTTAAAAAAACAATACTCATTCTCAAATAAGGAAATGTTCATTCTGAAATAAAATATTGTTCAATTTTTTCACAATTAAAAAGTTCAGTACCATCATCAACTTCTTCCTCTATTCGATTCGTTCCTACTCATTTATACTCTCTGAGCATGGAGAATTTAAAACCCAAGTTTATTCATGTTTTTATTGAATAAGAATATGATAATTCTCATAAATGCTGGTACTCATTCTCAAATCTGCTGGTACTCATTGTCTTATATAATAGTTCTTATATATATATATATATATATATATATATATATATATATATATATATATATATATATATATATATATATAGATTTTGGATCAAGTGAGAATGCAATCTTATGAAAGAAATAAGAATGAATCTGGTGCTTTAGATTGTCAGATCTAAGGGTCAGGATTGCATCAAAATTAGGTGCACCAAAATGATTTGAAAATACATCATGTCGAAATGCACCAAAATCCTTTAAAAATGCACTATCTCAAAATCTGAGTGCAGGATGCAATCTGAGCCGCACGATGCATCAGATCCAAAGACTAGATTTTATTCTTATTTCTTTCACCAAGGTGCATTCTCACCTGAACCGCCCCCTATATATATATATATATATATATATATATATATATATATATATATATATATATATATATATGTTCTTGGCATTGGATAAAAAGTTTGCAAAATTTACAAAAATACCAAGCTATACCTAAAGGAAGGTACAGCTGGATGTACCATATAATTTTCCGTTTATTTTAGCATGGGCATGCATTCCTCTATCTCAAAATATTTATTTTACAGTCAACTTAAAACGATATTTCATCTATAATTGAAATCATGTGGCATTTCGTATATTACCTAAATAAAATGATATTTTGAAAATATTTTAAAAGATATATATAGATCTAATTAAATTATTCTTGTATCAATATCTTTTTTTGAACTGAATTACTTTAATATAAGAACAGCAAAGTACAATGTCATAACAGGGCAACTAACAGTATACATTAATACATCTAACCATTGTGATATCTAAGCCAATATTTAATGATATCAGCACTATTTCTAACTGGGATTATTTCACCTTTATTGAGCTTGTGATTCCTGGCCTTCCAAATTGCATAGTGCACTGCTGCAGCTAGGGCTCCTTTGTTTTTTTCTCTTCTTGGTCTTCTTTTCAGTAGTTCAGTCACCATGTGGTCAACAGATTTGTAAGTTGTTCTTTTATGACACCACTCAGTAATCTCCTTGGATAGGTCCTTACTGTAAGAGCAATCAAAAAAGATGTGCTGAATTGTTTCATTGTTCGGACCACACAACATACACCCAGGATCAATGCTCATGTACTTCACCAGTCTGTCCTTTGTGGCTAGTCTTCTCCTAAACATTAGGCATTGAAAGAATTTATGTTTAGGTTGGGACTCCTTATTCCAAACAAGACTACTTCAAGTTGAGGTGTTATTTCTTTCCATTAGATGTTTATAACCCTCCCTAGGAGTATATATCATGTTCCTTGGAAAGTCCCTAAACAGTTCCTTGCATTTGTTCAGTTGTTTCCAGTAGTAGAAAATGTCCTTTCTTTCTCCATATTCCCATATGTTTTTCCCCTTCATATACCTGGCATGGATCCATTTGACCCATAAGATGTCCTTCTTATTTTCAATCTCCCATATTAGTTTCATCCCCACTGCTCTATTCCAGAGTATCAGATTCTTGATGCCAAGTCCTCCATTTGTTTTTGGTGTAGATATGTCTTCCCATGCTACCTGAGCATTCCTCCTCTTACCTTGGTTAGAGCCCCACAGGAATTTACAGCAGATACTTTGTATTTTCTTCATCACCTTAGTTGGTAGAATAAAGATTCTGCACCAGAAAGCAACTATCCCATACAGTACCGAGTTAATGAGTTTCACCTTACCTGCGTAGGGTAGGTGTTTGGTTGCCCAAGATGTGATCCTACAGTTTAAGGCATTCCTTTTCTCTAATTCTGCCAGGGTGATTGGCCCTCCCAGGTACCTTAGTGGGAATTCCCCTTTACTCATTCCAATCAGCTTGGCGAGTTCCTCTTCTACCTGTTTATCATCCCCTCCAAGGATAATTTGGGACTTGTCATTGAGAGGCCAGTTACTTCAATTCTTGGAAGTGATTTAGAGCATCCATTATACATTGGACAGAATCCTTGTCAGCTCTACAGACAATGATTAGATCATCAGCAAAGCCAAAGTTTATGATTTCCATTGATTTGCACATAGGATGGTATCTGAATTTATCCTTCTTCACAAACATTTTTAATGTTGGTCAGATACTCCATAATGATGACAAAGATTAATGGTGATATCATGTCACCCTGTCTAAGTCCCTTTTTCCCTTGGAAAAAACCACATAGCTGTCTAAGTCCCTTTGTCCCTTTTATCAATATCTAATAGGAGTAAAAATTTTACTAAATTACTCCCTCCGTCCCATTTTAAATTGCCTGTTTGCCTTTTTCTCCGTCCCAAAATAAGTTGCCTGTTAGTTGTTTTCGTAAACTTTTAAAAATAAAATATCTAAACTACCCCTAATATAAGTCACTCTTCTTTACTTTATCTTCTCATTCATCATCACCCCTTCTAAAAAGTAATGGCAATTTCGGAAAATCAACTCTATTTTTTATTTTCCTTAAATATGCCCAAATATCAAAATAGGCGATTTAAATTGGGACAGAGGGAGTAATATAGTTAACATTTAGAAATTTTAATTGTAAAAAATCAAAAAATGGCATGGACATCTACTCTAGGACGAAGGTAGAATTTTTAATTTTATAACTTACTACTCCCTGCGTCCTAAAATGATCTTTTCAGTTTGGTTTACGAAGTTTGACTGAAATTATTTTGTGATAGACCAAAACCCACCAAGTGTGTATTTTTTTGTCCGAACAGTATATGGGTAAAATACAGGAAATATATACTCCCTGCGTCCTAAAATGATCTTTTCAGTTCGATGTCAACCTCAGGTCTTTTTTCGGGGTACCATGCCAACGAGAGTGTTTTATTAATTCTCGAGGGTATATTTGTACTGCATATGCATATTGGTGTGATAGCCATTGGTGGAGCTCGAAGCTCCATTGAAGATGTGAAGATGAGGGAATACATGATGTGTGGAATGTAGAGGGAGGCTCCCATTTCTTCTTAGATATGCGCCCCTTATATAGTAAAATAAGAGCTTAAGGTTAGAGTTCCTCGGTGGGTTTCCCATGGGTTATCCCATATTCTTAAGTTAGGCCCAACATATATTATTCTCCATCAAGACCCCAGTTTTTTAGTGAACACGAAGCGTTGATTGAGAAACTACAATTTGTTGTTGCCTCTGTGATTTCTTCAATTGGCAATCTCTTTGCTCTAGCATCAGTTGAAGCTTATGCTTGTGTAGGCTCGTGATATGGAGCCCAAAAATTAACTTCTTAAGTTTCTCTTTTTCGAGTACCTATAAAAAGTTTTAAACATTACACTTGCATCATCGAGCATCTACGAAGTCCATGGGATGGCTCGTTATTTCAGGGAGAGGACTTTTTGGGCGTCCCAATTCAAGGACTCATATTGTTGGAGTTGTGCCCTGATAGCCAACTATTTTATCATTATTCTATCATGTACCGGCAAATATAATAATATAATTACACATCTAATGCTAATGTAAACAAATATTATACTCCTAGATCTATATTTAAAGATGTTTATCAGATAGTGTTTTCTGTTGATGAAACTAACATCTTGAAATAAATATTTATCTGAATGTCTATAGTCGAGTATTAACGAGAGTAGGATATCGTTAATGCATGTGAGACTAGTGTGTGTTGGATGTTTGACTTAGTCTCATAGTTAATGACGGTGTGTTCGCATCCACACACATGGGCAGATATTATCTGGAGATAATAGGTTGCTAGACTGACCCATCATAAAGATGTTGCTTGAACTTTTAGTTCATGCTTTAAGCATCTTTAGCGCGACCATGGTTGAAACTATCCTTCGACTTGAAGTATTACGTTTTCTTCATATGTGAACCCGCATGTTTTGATGTATTGTCATAAGCCATATGAAATAAGGATAGTATACAGGCTTTGTTTTGGGTATGCCGCAACGCGTATTCAGAAACGTAAATTACGTACAAACCAATTTGAAAATTTACTCAATTTCTTTTTGTGTAACATACTTTTAGTTATATTAGTTTAGTCAAAAAAAAATTTAAGCTAAATTCAATTCAGTTAAGTACACATTTTTTGTTGAAGTACGACCATATTTTTTCTTAATAAATTCTAATAAAAAAGAATAAATTAATAATTTTAAAAACATTTCATATTTTACTTAAAAAAGTTTTATATCACTCTTAGTGTCTTCTATAATGAATAACTAACTTAATTTTTATTAAAAAATTGTATTTGTATTTTCATTCATTTACTTGATTTTCATTGCATTCAAAAGTCCATAATATTTTTGTAATATAAAATATACTGATTTAAACTAATCAAATATTTAAATATCAACTTCTAGATATTATAATAAACTATTTGCTAAAAATGATCAATAAATATTTAAAACATGCCATAGACTCTGTATCTGTTTCTTGTGCCATGTTATTCAATCTTAAAAAAAATAAAAAGATTAGAATGGATATAGGTCACACAAATAATTTCGAATATGATATTTGACAATAATAGTCAGTATATTAAAGAAAGTAATATTTTTTGTAATATTAAATATATTAGTGTAAACTTATCAAATAATATATAAATATCAAGTTTAAAAAGTACCATAAAATATTTATTTAAAATGGTTAATGATTATTCAAAAGTTACTATATATGAAAACTTTTTTATGAATGGTTTTAGATTCAATTAATGCATACAGTCATCATTGACGTGTAAAAAAACGCCACGTAAGCATTACACATATCAAACTCTGGTGATTTGAGTCTGATATATTATATCAAAGGATGTGGCGTTTTGGTATGGAGGGTAACGCACTTACCGTGTGTACCACATCTGTCCTTATTATTAACTTAAATTTATTGTTTTAAAAATGTTTGTAGTAAAAGTACTGTTCTCTTCAACTTATTTCTGTTTCTTATTGCTTATTTTTATTAAAATTTGATCAAATCTATTCAGATCAGATCTATTCAGATCAAATTTATTCATATCAAATCAAATCCATTCAGATTAGAAAAGTATTTAAAAAATAAATAATTTTAAAATAATAAAAATAATAATTATAATAATAAAAATTATTATTCTTATTAATATTATCATCATTATTCATTAATAATGATAAAAGTAATAATAATAATTTATTATAATCATAATTAAATAAAAGTAATAGTAATTAATAATAATAATTAAAATATTAATAATATTAATAGATTTTTGTAATTAATAATAATTAATAAGAATGATAATAACAATTCATATTCATAACAATCACCATAGTTAATAATAAAAGAAATACGAGTAGTAAATAATAATAATAGCAATAATTAATGTAATAATAATGATAAATATAATAACAAATAATAATAGTAATTAATAATAATAATAATAATTAAAATGATAATAATAATCATAATAATTATTTTTAACTAAAAATAATTAATGATAATGATTATAAAAATTCATAATATTTTTTCGTTGTGAATATAATAATATTAATTTTTCATTAATAATAATAGAGTTTAATGGTTATTATTATTTTATTTTAATTATAATTAATAATGATAATCTTCATCATTTATCATAACACTTAACATTAATAATTATTATATATAATAACAATAAATACAAATATTAAAATAAGAATAATAATAATAATAAAAGGGTTTATAATTACAATCCTAATTATTCATAATAAAAATTATTATTGTAATATTACGAATAATAATTATAAAAATATATTAATGATATGTTATTATTATTATTTTTATTATAATAAATTATATTAAAAATTGTCATTATTAATCACAACGTTTAATCATAATAATTAATAAAAAATAGTAATAATAATAATAATAAATATAATTATTAAACTAATAATGATAAAACTAACAATTAATAATCACAATTTTAATTATTATGAATGAAAATTATTCTACTATTATTATTGATAGTTATTAATAATAAATAATAATAAATTATGATTATTAATATAATAATAATAATAATCATTATTATTTGAATTTGAATTAAATTTATTTATATCCGATCCATTCAGATGAAATCAAATCAATTCAGATCATATCATATCCATTCTGATCAGATCAAATTTATTCAGATGAGATCAAGTTTAAAAAGTTCAGTTCAGATCAGATGAGTCGAAGAGAACGCAACCTAAGTTGATAACATAATTTATGTACACCACTACTCATAGTATGAAAAGTGTGATACTTGTGAACTTTGATGTAAAGCTGATGTGGACTAGAGAAATGATAGTGTAAGAAAACTTAGAAGGTTATATGGTCCTTCTTCCCAAAAAACACTCATAGTTACTATTCACAGGTCAAATTAACTCTATTTTATTTATGTATTTTTATCAATTATTTAATAAAATAAAATAATTTAGTTACCACTTGTTTTGTAGAACTTTTAATGTAAATTTTTAATAAATAAATTTTTTATTTTTTAATTCCCCGTCAATTTTTACTTATCTTGATTTTAACATAGTTTGAGTAATAGAACCTAGGGGTAAGCATGTATCATACCGTTACCGAAAATTCCCAAAAATTCCCGAATTACCCGTACCAAATTTTACCGAACCGAAAAATCCCGAACCGTACCGAACTGAATTTTCGGGCTGGTATTTGGGAATAGGAATGGGCTCTGTCCCGAACCGAATTTCCCGTACCGAACTACTGTAGCAACTAGCAAATACGGAGTATATATTAATATATACGGAGTATATTGAAGTCCAGTCCACTGGTCCAGCCAAATTTGGGAATAGCCTAATTTTTTAAATATTATATGTATATATATTGAAGTACAAAGCCCAAAACTCCCCAGTACTCGAGTAGCCCTCCTATTTGCTACGGAGTATTTCCGTTCCAGATAGAAAGCGAACTACGGAAAAGTGCCCTCAAACCCACGAACGGAAGTCGCCGAGAGAGAGGCCAGAAGGAAGCTGCGGAGAGAGAGGCGTCGTCGCCTGCCTGCACGCTCCACTGCTGATGCCCGCCAGTCACCGAGAGAGAGACGCCGCTGCCCGCTAGTCACCGAGAGAGAGACGCCGCTGCCCGCCAGACGCCACCTCGCCGGAAATTCTCCAGCCTCCAGGTCCCGGAGTCCAGGTACGGAGGCAAAAAATACTAATTTCAGAATTTCTTTAAGAATTTTACATTTTGTTATGTGTAAATATGAAAATCTTTAATCTTTATAAATTTGTGGTATGAATTTGTTATGAATTTTTGTTGTGAATTTGACAATTTGTTATATGAATTTTTCACGTGAAAAATTGAAATTTTTATTTGAAATTTTTGCTAATTGTTATGAATTTGTTGTGAAAATCTGAAATTCTTTTAATTTAGTAATATGAAGATCTGTTTTTTTTTGGAAATTTGAAGTTTGTACTGGCTACATTTTTTCTTTATAATTTTGTTCTGGCTCCATTTTAGATAGCCTCTGCCCCATTTTTTCTTTATAAATTTGTACTGGCTACTGCTTATTTGTCATGAATGGGCAGAATTATGGCTATGCCATATTTATGATTTCCACCCATTTTTTAGCTACTGTAAATCTGTAATTGGTAGTTTGTTTTTCAGAAAAGTAGGCTTTCCTTTACAAATCCTTGTTGTTTTTTTAAAAAATAGTCTTTGTTTAAATTGATTGTTTAAAGAGAACCATAATTTATGCTATCAAATAGTCTTTGGACAGCAAGGGCATTTTATGCTCTCAACTAGGATATTTTAAGATGATATATGGTTTGAATTTATGCTCCAGAATTTACTCCATTTTGATCCATTTTTTATTTTCTTCATAAATAATTGAATCCTTTATGCTCTACAATGCTTATTTTTGCCTTTTGTGAAGCTACTACTTTTGTAATGCTACTTTTGCTTTTGTAATGCTTTTTTTAAATCTTTTGTACTACTGCTGCTATTTACATTTACAGTTTTTCAACTTTTTCTATTTAAGACAAATATTTCTACTACTATTTGTATTACCAATTGTGTATTATACCTTGCTTGTTTAAAAAAATCCCGAAAAAAAATCCCGTACCGACATTATTTTGGGATCGGTAACGATAAAATATGAAATCCCATCCCAAACCGAAAGTTATGGTACGGTATCGGTACGGGCATAATCCCGTCCCATACCGTACCATGCTCACCCCTAATAGAACCGAGTCATTTTGGATGGAGGGAGTATCGCCTAAAATTTACTGATTTCTAATAGGAGATTCGGGATTTAGCCCTGCGAGGCCAAAATCCACAGAGCCGATTTCCTTTGTTGCCCCAGCAGTTCCGACTTCCGGCCTGCGATTGGGTCTCTAATCTCCAATCCTAGGACACGGTATAGTATCCATGTTTCCATTACCCCATTAAAATCATTTTTTAGTTATCCACTGTCATTTTTGGCTCAATTACAGGTTTATTAAGTTACATCGATTAAGTTCAGTCAGGTTTTGTCTTGATTTAAATTCCAGTGATTTAATTCTTTAATTTGGTTAGATTCTTAATCTTGTGATTTGTTTGATTTCTTCTTTAATGTAGTTCAGGTGCCAATTTTCGGCTTATTAGGATTTATTATTTTTTGAAGCAAGTCTATTGATTTTGTATTCACTTTATTATTTATTAGGACTATGATTATATGTATCCATAATCAACTTTGATGACCCCTTCCCTGTATTTTCGTGAATCCATTCATGCGTAATTTAAAACTTGATTTAAAAGTAGGAAATGCTTAATACATGTACATATCTGTACATGTATCCAATTTCCAAATGTTTAATCCCTAGAATAAGCCATGTTTTATGAATTGTTAACGTATTATACACATATGTATGTATTACATCTGCCGTATATTACGAACTAGCTTTTGAGCAGGTGAATTGGCCAAAGTACTTCTCTTGAACTCTTCCTTCGTGTTATGCAGAGGTAGTCTTCCTGCACAATCATCTTCCAAGATGTCATTCATGAAGGGAGATCTGCTAAGGAGAACCCAAAAACTTGTCAAGGGATTCGCTAAAGCTGAGCCTGTCTGGCTCAAAGCCATGGAACAGTAAGTGTTTCTTATTCATTTAATCAAATTCTCTCTTATTTTTAATTGAAAATTGTAAAAAGTATTCCTTCTTGGATGCCATTGCCTCAACTTTTAATGTTTGATGACATGATTTTTTTGTAAATAAATTTAGGTAAAAGTTCATGCAGATTATGTTACGGAGTATTTCTTTGTGGTTATGATCTAAGTCATCTAACCTTGCAGTGCACCACCGGCCACATTTCCTCGTGCAGAGAATAAAATCAAACCCATTACTCTCCCCGAGGATGTTTATGTAAAGAAGTTCTTTAAGAAGAATCCTTACTCTTTGCCCGAGGATCCAATCGAGTAAGTTGTTAACCCCTATACTGCTTGTATCCCATCATGAAGTTTTAACAGAGTTTGTATAACGTATAGACTCTAAATTAGCTGGAATTTAGCAGTTCTACATCGAATTCTATGATGTGCTTTATTGCTTCACCTGTTAACTCTTAGGATCGAATCGAACACACTTAGAAATCCGATGAAGCAGATGAAGAAAACCGAGAGAAAAAGTAAAGCTAGAGAGAGAAAGACAAAACGCGTGAATAACATAGTAACACCCCCTTTGTAAACTTCCACGACGGTGGGGCATATATATTAATGACTCAGAGTATGTACAATTACAGTGAATAAATGCAGAGTGAACATTAATATATGACAGTACATCAAAATATTAGTCAGGCTCCACAACCTAACATTAACTTATGTTTTGATCATTTTATTCACCTAAGCTGGCCTGGGTTTGACTTCACAACCTTTTGATCTCGTATTTGATGAGATTATGAGAACCACTTCCATATTGTTTTCTTCCACCATGAGTAGCATCTGTGAACAATCTCTCCCTCCATTGTTTTCTAATGTCTATAATCAATTTCCTTTGGGGGAATTTGTCTTGACTTGAAATAAAATAAAACTTACCTACAAATGATAGAGTAATCTTTTTTACCATTTATCACAATATTTTTATAACCATATGTTCTTGTTTGGTTTTCCTATAAGACTTTTTTTTATCCATTTGACCATTTATTCTCTGTATGGCTTTTCTGCCAGAGGCATTTGATAGCATAATGATAAATGAAAGAGAATAAAGCTAATCAGATAGATTTGAAAATAATGAGGCAGAGGCATATGGAGATGATATATCTTTTTCCAAAAGTGAAATTTTGAGAAGTATCAGGATGCTTAATTGTATGACAGTATATATGAGAGTATATTTTCTTCAAAATATGCACAAATGTTATTATATTTTTTATTTAAAGAAATGAAGAAATGGTACTGCTCACTACATAATTCACCTCCAATAGGCGCATTATAAATTTAAGAATGGGGATAAGGGTTGGACCCAAGGGAGAAGGAATTTACTTGATTGAGGTTTGTTTGTTGTTGTAATTAAGTCTTTTGGAAATGTATTTAATCAAAAGAAATGCATTCACGAAGTGGATTCAACCTTTTATAGAATGCCTATCCTTCTCAGAAACAAATTTCGAAATTTTGTTCACAGAAGAATTTGGTTTAAAATTTGAAATGACACATAAAACTTCCTCTGCTTCTTACTTTCAATGATGTATTAGAGATAAATTTGTTTTTGAGTCCTTTTATCTTCTATGCATTTATTTTCTCTCTTATAACTCTTTCATAGCTGTATAAACACTATGAGTTGGGATTATACTTTGTTGTTGGGGTGGTTGCCATTTTTGTTCTTATGAAGTTACTCATGCTTATAGCAATCATTTTAATTTTAAAAGCTTACCAATCACAACAATATATATAAAAAAAATTCTCCTACTTGTCCAAATCTGGTTTTAATCTTTTAAAAAATGTGGAAACTACAAACTGAAAAACACCCCAAATAGAGCCAATGGAAACTAATCTGAAATGTCCCTAGACTTTTTCTACTAGTAGTGTCTTAATATTAAACCTGCCTGAAATGCGAGGACCCGTTGACTTCGTTTTGCCATTTTTCAATTTTCTGTTGTCTGGTTTTCATTCCATGTTTCTTGTCTTCTAATTCAGAAAACGTGTTTATCAAAACATATTTCTAGTAGTATAACATATGTGATGTTGGGAGTGGAGGCAGCAGCGGGTGACAATGCTAGTGGTTGGGGGGCTGGCTGTGGTGGTCCACTGCAATAATCGTGGTTTTAGTGGTATTTGAATTCTGAAAACGAACTGAACTGTTTTTATTTTCCCAAAAATATAATTTCTATTTAGTAAACAGCACCAGAAGCTCTCATGTTTGAGTGGTGTTGCTTCATACACCTCAATACCGTTAAGGAATAAGAGAGACGATGGAGTATACATATGAAATGAAATATTTATCAAAGACTTTCTAGTTCCAAAGACTGACTAGTTCCTGTATGTGATGCTTTGCTACTTCATCTACATAGAAACTTGCAGCACTCCAATCCCCCCTTCATATCAAAGTTTCTCTATGAGTTCCCAAGTTGTGTTTGCTCACTTGACACACATTTATTAATTTTCTTTATTTAAATGTTTTGATTTGTTAAAAGCTTCCGTGGGTTTGACCCACCTCCAGCGCGCTTATTTGGATGTCGGGTGGTTGAGTTGAAGGAAAAAGGAGCAGATGAAAGTGATGCTATGGCTGTGGCTCAGGTATGTGCTTGCGTCTTTCCTTTGGGACTTCATATTATTTATGTCATATCATCATATACTCCCTCTGTTCACCAGAACGCTTCCTATTTACTATTCAAGGGTGCTCGATAACTTGAGACTTCATATTATGTCATATCATATACAAAAGCATTGTTCCATATACGATATAGTCAACAACCATCAGGCATCGCGATTGATTTTTTTTTTTAACAGCTGGAGTATCAAACGGAGAAGAGTGCAAGAAAGAAGGCGTATAGGCGATTGAAGAAAATCGCACGCCTTCAAGGAAAGGAACCACCTCCCAACCCCTACCCTAAAGCGTACAAGGAGATACAGGAAGAAGAGAGGCCATTTGTGCGAGAGCGCTTCAACAATCACAACATTATCAGAATTGCAGAGAAACTTAAAGAAGAAAGAGAAGCCGAGTTGCAAGAGAGAGGGGTGGGGCGAGGGGGTGGCCGGTGGTAAAACCAGCCACTGCGTTTCCTTGTTGTCTTTCTTTCTCAAGTTGATGGCTGTGTTCGTTCCCTGTAATAACACACTCCCTTTTGTGCGGTTCAAAAAGGAACAGATGGGAAAAACAGCATGCAGCAGACAAAGTTCATATTGCTTAGTTTTCGTTCCGGTATTATTTTGCTCCCATATGGATCCAATTCTAATTGAGTCGACATAAACAAAATATATTGGGATTGGCTCTGGTCATATGTCTTGGTGAGATGACATGCTACAGTTTAATGATGGAAAGCTTACCATTGCCAACTATTCCTTTTGTCCCAAAATGATATACTTTTTTATTGTTGTGGTCTGTCGATAACTTTTATTTGTTAAAATGTTTTCATTGATCATTTGATAAAATAAAATATTCTTGTCATCTTTTATTTTTTAGAATATTTAATGTAGTTATTAAATATGTAAGTTTTGTTTTTTAATTTTATACCAATTTATAAAAAAATATCTTTAAATGTCACAGGATTTTACATGTTCGAACATAGATTTTTTGCGACAGAGGGAGTATAAAGTTTACCTACACCAACTACATTGTTCATTTGTTCATTAAAATGCATGACAAAGCTCATCATGATTTTTTTATACTTTGATTTTACAAAATATTAAAGGATGAGGTGCTAACTAGACTTTGACGGTTAACCATCACCCTGGACCACTACCGGTCGCAGCTATTGCTGAACGCCATTGCCGGCCGCCACCGTGGGTGGCTTAAAGTTTACTTCTAAAAACAATGAGTTTTTGTGTTCAAATTGATGAGTATTGCTTTAGTCCCAGGTGAGCTTTTCATTAATATTTGGTGAGTTTTCTACACCAGGTTTGTAGATTGGAGTCATCTGACGCAAAGTGTCATAGCGCCGAAACTTGTCATCATACCAGAGTCAATCCCTTATACCATTTGTAGTGGTGTAACATTGCGACATCAATTTAATTTGAGCACCTATAGTGCTCCATTCATAAAATTAACGGTTTCTACCCTCCCTATCTTACCTTACCAATTTGACTTAAAGAAAAAGCAACATTTAAAAATTCAAAAACCATTTGACTATTTCAAAATTCCCAAACAAAGACCAAAAGCCACTAGTTATGGTTAAAAGTCGAAATCCTTTTTATACATATGTAAAAATGATTTTGGTTAAACCAAAAGACAGGATAAATTAGATGTTGGTCTCACATGAATTCTACCTAACAAACTATGTCTTTGACTCTTTGATCTTGAACTCTTGAACTCTTCTCGCTTGTCTTTGCTTCCTTGGCAACTTTGATCACTTCATAAGTGCATTATTCACACATTGTTTTCTCATCAAGACTTGTTGTCTTCACTTCATCGTTTCTCATTTATCAAAATAAATACTTGAGAATCATGCTAAAATCCCAAAGCTCATATTACTGACTTTGACACAAGGGAAGTGTTTTTCAAAAACTTCAAAGACTTGTGTTTGCCTTACAAATGTGAATTTATATTTGTTTGAAATAATCTTAGGCCTGCTGTTCGAGCCACTATAAGATGTCTCAGTGCAAACAAGTGACCTTTAAGATGTGAATTTTGTGGAAATAAGTTGTTCTCAAAGGAGGCAAGAATTCTGCATCCTTGAAATTTTAAAAGAAATTTTTAGAAATAATTTTAACTTGGAAATGTGACTTTCAAAAATTAGAAAATATTTATCACCCTTCAATTTTTTTTATCAAGGGTAAGATATACCCAAGTACCTCTTTATCATGAAATATGCATTCATGTACATAAACTTCTCTTGCATCTCTTGAAGGTCTTAAATCAAACTCCCTTATCAATCTTAGCTTAAATGTTGTTCTAGCATTCGATGAACATTTTTCAATGAAGTTCATATTAGAGCTAGTGCAAGTAGTGCCTAATATTTTTCTGTCAATGCTCACCTGGTTAAGAATCAAGGTTCTAGTACTTCTCAAATTGAATATGCTAGAGTTACTATAAGTTTGATGAATTTAATGAGTTGCACTCAGTGAGACTTAACTTAGTGAGGGTATACTTTACAAAAGATAGGTTCAAAAGTGTTGACCATTACATATCCTTTATAGGTTTCAACTGGTGGATGTTACTGACCTCCCAAAATGAGTTTTCATTCATGTGGAGGGTTGTTGGAACTTTTAGGTATCAAATAGGTATTTTGTGAACAATATTGGGCATAATTATCAATGGGGTCCAATAATGATATTGATCTTTAATTGATGGACGAGTGTTATTATAAGTAAGATGGGTATTTTGATATATTATACGACAAAACGATGAACGGTTGAATGAGAAATTAAGCTTAAAAATTGATTTGTTGAGTAGAAGAGAATGACTGCTTTATTCACGCTGAGGTGGTATGCATGCTCAGCTCAACATGTATGCTCGGCTTAGCACACATTGCTTAGTTTTTTTAAGTTCAGACTCATGAGGCACCAATTTCCATGTTCTAATAAGTGTTTGGGCAAAAGGCATGTGCCTTGTGCTTGGCCTTAGGTAAGTGGCCTTGGGCAAAAGGCCTCAGCTTTGTGCCCGGCCTTGGGAAAAAGGCATTGACCCCATGCTTAGGTCAAACTAAATACCTTCCATTATTATATGCGTGAAGTTCAAATATATTCACTCTTCTTCGTAGTTCAAATATATTCAAAGGATGATTATTTTTCAATGAAGTCTATATTGGAGCTAATGTCCCCTCCCCCTAATATTTAAAATAAATACAAGATAACAAGCTGCTCTAGAATCGATAGTTTTTCTGTTTCAGACACATCTTCATCTATGTCTTCTCTTTCTTTTATCTCGTGTTCATACCTCTACTCAAGTTAAATCATACATAATATACACATTGTTCGTCCATATATTCTACGAGTAACAGTTAACCATTTTTATATAAAGACTAATAAGCATGACACAATCAAAACCCCAGGTATGCAAGTACAACTAAACTGAGCAATAGAGTCAAACTCGATCAGTGCACGACATTCTCTTCCGAGAATTGGTTTTGAGGGAATACATACCAAGTGAATGTGATAAATCTCGTTAACGAACATCCCTCGTTCGTGCCATCCTCTAATACCATATTAAAATTTCGGTGGACCAAAAACGAGTAGAGTGTGAGGTAAAATTAACTATTGCATATAAAGTGAGGATCCACTTTCTAACCCTAACACTTAAGCTGATAGGTAGGACTTCACCCTTCTATATATGCCAGTACTATTCATCTTTATTTTTCGATGTGGGAACTCCAACAGATAACGAGTCTAAATTTTAAAAATAGTTTTTTTAATAAAAATAATATCGGACTATTAATAACTATAGAAAATAATGCCAATCATAGTAATAAATATAATAACAAAAATAATAATGAAAGAATTTAAAAATGAATAATAAATTACGAAGTACTCTATATACAGTAAGATGAAGTAGATAAATACTTCATAATTATTTGAGAAACATACTCTGTATATAGCTTTGGACAACTCGTTCCGTGATAATTGGTTTTTAATATTTGTATCATGGTCCGGTCTTATTTGATATCGATTTAATTTCGATTCGTGATGAAAAAATCAGCCTCACCCTTACAAATGTCAAATGAACCTATTGGAAAACTGAATTAGTCAATAAATTCATTTGTAATGAACTTAACTCATTACCCATTTCAGTCAGCGACGAGGATGACCGGCCAAAGTCCTGCCATACCAAAGACAGAACAAAACAGCCGGCATCTAAGCCAGTATGTAGACCACTTTTGCGAAGACTGAACAATAAACGGGTTCTTTCTTTCCTTTCCTCCACTTTTGCGAACACACACACACACACACACACACACACACAAACTGCTCCGCCTCTGATTCAGTGGACAATTGATGCTGAACGAACTCCGAGGATGCTCCATGAGGACTGCGCTTAACATATTGCTATTCACTATTCTGCCCTCCCTCTTCTGCAATTTCACCGGTAAGTTTTTTTTTTAAAAAAATTCATTCTTCTTCTTGAAGCATTTTCAAAGAAGAATTAAGACTGTTTTGGTGTTGTGGTGGTTCTCTGATCTTAGCAGCCGTTTTACTTATTGATCACGGTGGATATTATCTCCCTTAGCTTCCTTTAAAAAAAAGTTTTCCGGTTAGGGATGACAATGCTTTTATTTTCAATTCATATTTTTTGAAAAAAATTGTGTAAAAATCAAAACATAAAGTTTATAAATTTAAAATTTACCTCAAGTGTTCAATAAAACAAGAGTCGACTAAGACTATTTTATTTTATCAAATGAATAAAGAAAGTATCAAAAGTGTGAGTGTGAATATAGTGAACAAGAAATTCTTTTTTTTTTTTTTTGGGACGGAGAGAGTACAATTTTTTTGAAGTTGGATTGTCTGAAATGAATTGTCTACTTACCCTATTTAGAAAGTAAAGTGCGGCGAAATATAGAAAGCACTCACAAATGAGCATATGAACATTGTTGTCATGAAGGACGAACTAATTTCTCCACTTATATATGCTCAAACCAAAAACAATATGGAATAATTCTTTTATGTCTTCCATTTCTCCTCTCTATTGGGATTTTCCATTCTACATTGGCACGAAGATTAAGAAATCGGAGGAGTGTGTGGTTAAGGTTTATTTAAATAAAGTGGAAAAAGTATGCACCACACATTTCTTTCCTTTACTGGAAAGTTGAAATGTACGTTAAAGGGCACCCATATAAAGAAATTTGGAAAATCCTAATGAGAAGGGGGGAATTATTTTACAAAAAAGATGTAATAATATTATACTTGCTTGAATTCAAAATATACTCAAGTAATGTATGCATATGTCCAATTATTGAGGTACTAGTGTTGATGATGATTTTGGATTTGGGGTGTGATGGAATAAATCAAAATGGATCTCTAAACTGTCCGCGCTTCTTTAATCTTTAATTAATGAAGTAGCAGTTAGTCAAGCAATGCAACTTTCGACGTTGAGCCAAGGGTCTCTTTGGAAACTGCCTCTCTACTTTCGAGTAGGAGTAAGATATGTGTACACACACCCTCCTCAGACCCTACTTTTGTGGGATTTAACTGGGTTGTTGTTGATTTTGGTTTTCTTAATCACATGGGGTTTTTTGTTTTTTAGGCCAACAGTGTGTGGGAGCTTTCACCGGAACGTATGGGATTAACTAGGGAAGAATTGCAAATAACATCCCTTCTCCGGACAAAGTTGTGAAGCTCCTCAGAGCAGCAAAGATAAAGAATGTACGAATTTACGATCCAGACCACGCCGTGATTAAGGCCTTTCTGCTTGAATGCGTACCCGTTCTTGGCGTACACGTACAATTCGGACAAGATTGATGTCAACTATGCCCTCTTCAATTCAAACGAGGGAATTTACGACGAGAGAGCGAATCTCCATTATGACAATCTGCTAGATGCTCAGATTGATGCGGCGTATGCCGCTTTGCAAGACGCCGGGTATGGTAAAATGGAAGTCGTAGTTACTGAAACGGGCTGGGCTTCTCAAGGGGGGAAGAATGAACCGGGTGCGACCGTGGATAATGCGAGGACTTACAATTATAATTTGAGGAAGAGACTTGCTAAGAGGAAGGGAACTCCGTTGAGGCCGAATACCGTGCTGAGGGCTTATATCTTTGCTCTTTTTAATGAGAATTTGAAGACGGGTCAGTTGTCTGAGAAGAACTATGGGTTGTTTAAAGCCGATGGGAGTATAGTATCTCGTATGATATTGGTTTTCCTGGACTTCATACTCCTTCCAAATCGACTTCGAAGGTACGTGGCTTAACTTGTAAAATATGGTCATTAGGCTTTTCTTGCTTCTTTCCCCTTTCAAGTACTTATTTGCCAAATGAGTTGTATTTATTGAAATCATTGTTTTACCAAATAACCACAATTTGTGAGTTTGGATATCTGGAGAACACCTTAAAATAACATTTCTAATAACCTGCTCATTCTCTAAGACCGCTTTCAGTAACCGATTCTTCTTGGTTAAGGTTGCATTTATTTTTTTTATTATATTTTCTTTTTTTAAATGATAATCAGCACTTACTGTTTGTGCAATGTGAAACATTGCAGGGAATCATGGTTCAAGGGTCATATTACCCAAAGTGTGCAGTCTTGGTAGTGTTGCTTTCACTTTTCCTTGTATGGTTTTGAACCAGCAGGCCAGTTGTTTTCTCCATGTTCAACTTTTCTAGCATGACATTAGTGATCGATCAAGAGAGATGAATACAAACACACACACACACACACACACTAGCTACACGCCGCATATACTCCGGTACCTCATTCCCTGCAGTGCATCCCCGCCGTGCGCCCCATCCCAATCTGCGGCGCGGCAGATTTTTTTTGTACACTGTAAGTGCTCTTAGTATTCCGTAATATTTAGAAGTTGAGCTCAAAAAATGGTAGAGAATTTGATGAAATGATTTTCTTAGGCATTCATGTCTCTGGGACATTTTAGATAATTTATCAAATTGTTTGTGCTCTCCCGTTTTAGTGAATTTGTCTAGTTTTACTTTTTTGAGTTAAATTAGATAAATTTTGAACTTCAATTAACTAAAAACCGTAATATATTTTAATATAAAAATGATTTTATTAAATTTATCGTTTTGAGAACTTTCAAAATTATATTTTACTATATTAATATGCAATACAAATTCAGAGTAATTAGAGTTCAAAATTTGTTCAATTTAATTAAAAAAGGTCAAAAAATGAACCAATACAATAATATTTAATATGAACACTGGATTACTAACACGGATAATTAAAAAAATGAGAACAGAAAAATGGATAACTAGATTCGTACAAATAAGAAAACAATTATTGAATATTACTCCGTATATATTAACAAAAATAAAAGTTACACAATCATTAGTTTTTTGAGTCAATACTAATTAAAAAAATTACTCCCTCCGTTCCACAAAACCCTTCCTCTTTTGTTTTTTTTCTTTCCACAAAACACTTCCACTTTCTATTAAAAAACCACTTTTACCCCTACTTTTTCATACCATACCTATCACATCATACTTTTTCACTAATAACCAAACTATCACATCTTAATTTTTCTCATCACATCAGAGGCAAAATTGGAAAGTCAACCAAAATTACACTTTCCTTATTTTTGTCAAAAGTCAAAACTGGAATTGTTTAGAGGAATGAAGAGAGTACTAGGGAATTCTAATATACGAAGATTTTTCAAAGTTGGCAAACTACACATACATTCCATCAGGGTGGGATATATTCAAGTGTTTACTAATCACTTGGTAGTTGGGACAGCCAAGTGTCATTGACTTCCGCCACACAGATATTATACGGAATATAATGAGAAAAGTTAAATAAAAAAGCTAAAACAATGTATACACCAAGTTTTGTAAATTTTGTACAAAGACTTTAATAGTTCATACTGCTTGAGATTGAGAATTTTTGAATTGACATTCTATATGAAAGTGTTACGGTGCAAAGTGGTGTACACATAGCGTACTTCAGGATAAAACCCTATCAACTTTGACATGATGAATTTGACACCAAATATTTTACAGACATATGAAAAAATAATTGTTTGAACATCACGAAAAATAATGTATATATGTTCATAAAATATTTGGTTTCAAATTCTTAGAGTCAAAATTGATGGGTTTTTAGCATGACTCACCAACATTTACAAATAAAAATGACACAAAATTTACAAAATTAGTATTGTTAATCTTATTAAAAGAATAAAATGGTGACAAATAATTAGAAAGTGAAATTAGAAAGTATTGCCAAATTAGAAAGTATTGTTATTCTAGTACTATCTCCATCCCTGGGTATTTGTCTCATTGTGATTTTTTTCGATCAACTATTTTCAATCTTTGACCTATAATTAAATAAAGCATATATTGTATATTAACTAGATAAAATAATATTTTGATAATAATCCCTCTGTCTGAAAAATATTATTTCATTACGAAAACGTGAAAAATGTCGCGCACACACACACATTGATGGTGTAAATTACCACGCAAATGCTAAGTATAAGTAATCGGAAGGGCTGTAGGTGGAAACACCTGTAACCCGGTTTGTTAATGATAATAATACTAAGACTATTACAAAGTACAAGCCGTACAGATTAATTAAAGCCTCCCCCACAAATGAGGATTTTAAGGGTATTTATAACAAAATTAAGCACGTCAAGCACGTCTCTGGTTATCCAACCGGTCAGCCTTCTGACCGGTCCCATAAGAGTACTTGGAGAACGTTTCTATAGTTGCAGGCATTCAGTCCTCAACCAACCGGCCTCACGACCCGGTCTATGAGCGATGCGCCCTGTCACTTCAATCACCACCCAGTCGGACGAACCAACCGGGTGGTATCCATGGGTTATTACCCATCAAGGAGTCCTCCGATTCCCGGTCATGTGGGGACCACCATGGGCGGGAAGCATGTGCGATCATCTCCTAAAATTTGAACTGCCCAGTCATCTTTTTGCGGGAAAATCATCTCGGAAAACCAGCGCCAACCCGAAATATTTGAGATTTGAAATTTGAATTTTGAATTTTCAAAAACCGGGTGTCCAAAGCGGGAGAATTTTCTCGAAGTCGGGTATGGAGCCGCCAATTTATTGTGCCGTTTCGTCTCCCCGAGAGGTTATGATGGCAAATCACTTCAGCTGCCACGTGTCATTATTTCATTCGTCCGTCTGGGCGGCATCTTTCCTATATAAAGCGAGCTTCTCCCTAGAATCTCCTCACTTGCAAATCTTCAATTGAAAAAACTGCCCGGCTGCTTCTACTATTTCCGAGTCCTCCAAGTCTTCTAATCGTCTCCAAGTAAGTCTTTTTCCTTCCTTTTCTGAGTCATGTCAGACCGTGAGGATAGCCAGAACCCTTCCGTTCACTCTTACGGTTCTGGTGGCCGGTCTCCAACCTTCGGTTCCTCTTCCTCTTCTTCTTCCGACTCTGAGCACCCGGCTACTTCTCCACAGAAGAAGCCGGTTGATGCTTCCACTTGCGCTCCCTCTTCTTTCGTGGCGCAAGTGGTCTCGGCTACCCAGCCCGGGGACGAGGGCTTCATTCTGCTAGACAACCGGTTGATCCAGGAGCAACAGTCGTATATGCAGAAGCCCCAAGTTCACGAGCTGCGTAATCTGATGCCCGATGGGTATCAATTGACCTACCGGGCAACGTGGAAGAGCATTATTCCTCTCCACGTTGGTACGTCGATTGGTATCCATTACCACTCGATCAAGGACTTGGGTGAATTCTCTATTCACCCATTCAAAGTCCTTTTCCTTGAGACATACGGTATCATGCCCGGGCAGTTGGCCCCTAATGGTCACCGTCTGTTGGGCAGTTTTATCAATGTCTGCCGGTTCCTCCGTATCCCTTTCTCTCTCCGTCTCTTCGATCACATGTTCGACGTCCGGCCCAGGTCCAAGGAAACCCTTGGATTCGTGGTGGTATCTTCCCACCAAGGCCGGACATTCCTCTGTGGCCTTCCACCTTCTAACAAGAAGTGGAAGGACAAATATGTTTGCATCAAATTCCCCCCAGCTGCTTTTCCCTTTGCCCAAAATGTCTGGGGGAAGAGAATGAAGTGCCAGGTCAAACCAGTGGAGGCCGAAGACCTGGCTGCCTGGGAAGCCACCCTCCGGGCCGGGGACGCCTCCACCCGCGGTCTGTACCACGTCGGGAAGTGGAGCGTTTACCCCGGCCGGGAGACCGACCCCGAACCGGAGATTGTTCTGCCCGGGGTGATCCCCGAAGCCATCCCCATCAGCCGGGCGAGGGGATCCAAAGCCCTGGCCACAGCCCTTGCCGGCCCTTCACGCCCGGCGAAGTAGAAGAAGGAGAAAGGTCAATCAACTGCCCTTCTCATTTTTTATTTAAATTAATTTGTTTATAACTTCGTTCTTCTAACCGGTTTCCTTTCTTGCAGTGGTGAAGTTTCAGTCCAAGTTTGCCGTCCCCCAGATTGTGGTTGAGGAGCCCTCCTCTGCTCAGCCACTCACCCCTCCATCCAGCCAGCCGTTCCTGCTGGACGACCAGCCGGCTCGATCCCACCAAGGAACCAGCCAGCCGATTCACTCGGGGGAGATCTATATCAATGTAGACACCTTCGAGTTCGACAACTTTATGGGAGAGACCGGCCATACTTCTCAGGCCGGCCAGCAGGTTCAGCCCAATGAGGAAGGAGAACCCGAGGAAGAGACAGCTGGGGAGTCTCTTCAACGGAAGAGGCGGAGGACCGAAGAGGTCAACCAGCCATCTCACCAGGGACCCCAGTCCTCCGACGCTGGCAAGGGACCCATCGTGCCTCGATCTCCGCTCCTGATGTCCCGGTCGAACGAAGAGCTTTTCCAAGCTTTTCGTTCGGACCTGAATGAGGTAATCCCCCTCTCTACCCTATCCTTATTGCTTTTGACCTTTCTGCTGAAATTTTTCATGTCTTTAAAGCAGGTCGGCCGGATTGGTGAGGAGTACTTCGCCCGGTTGGTGAAGTCAATGGATGAAGAGAAGGCCCGGATGGAGGCCATGATGGTCGAATGCCGGAAGGAAGCCCACGCTGCCCGGGCCAAGGCAGAGAAGATAGAGGCCAAATGGACAGAGCACTGTGCGGTTTACCGCTAGCTCTATGCCAAGCACGACGGTCTCCTCAAGGCTGCAAAAGAGGCCGATGAGCAGGCTCAGGCCAAGATCCAACAGCTGGAGGCCGAGAATGCCCGGTCAGCTGAGGAGATCGCCCGACTTGGAGACGAGCTGCAGAAGGAGCAGCCAGAGCGTGCCGCCGTTGCCGCTGCCTGGGCTGCTCAAGCGCCGGAGGAGTTCGCCGCTACGGCGCTGCCTGACCGGGAGACTGCTATCCGCTTCTTCCAAGGTCTTTACAAGCATCAAGTATCGGCCGACATCGTGGACGAGATTGGAACCTACGGCTTTGAAAGCGGCCAGTACTCGGAGCGGAAGGCCCTCTACGGCATCCTTCAGCAGAGGATCCAAGGTTTTCAGCCGAAGGCTCTTTCTCTGCCCGAGCTGCATAGCGAGGCGCCTGAACCTCCCTTCCCGGGCATCTGATCCGTCCGGCCTTCCTTTCTCATCTGATTTTCTCTCTTTTTTTATGATGTAATGATCTGCCTCCGGGCACTTTTGTAAGACATTGAAATATTAATGAAAATATGCTTTATGTTATGTGCTGAGTGCTTTTTTCCATATCTCATCACTTCTCTTCAACTTGAATTCTTTAACCGTTTAGATTAATAAATAACAGCCCGGCTGCATTTACCCGGTTTAGAATACAATTTTACCTAAGTCTTTTCGAAAGATTGGATAGCCAGCCGGGAAGACTTTAAGGTTTATAAATTTCCTCCCGGTTTTGGTATAACCCTCGATGGCGTATTGACTTGTCCTTTTCGAAAGGTTAAGCATTTGCCCGGGTTCTTGTAAGGCCGACCGGTTTACACAATGGCTTGATGCCCTTGTGGAAAGGTAAGTCTTAAGTTTTTTTTTGACAGAACGATCTGGCTTGAACTGGCCGGGATGCTCTCCCTTTAGTTAAGCCAAATTGTTTTTAACTCCCGTGTCAGTACGGATGAGGTGTTGGATCGGTCAGACCGGTCTCTCTTTTCCCTTTTCCCTCCCTTTTTTTTAAGATGTCCAATTCGATTGGACATCTAACCGGATAGATTGTCACGTGACGAATTACCGGTTGATGTATGCGAACAATCTTTCTGAAAAGAACAAAGTTTTATTAATGACCGGGAACTCATTACACTATCTAAAAAATTTACGCAAGTGGTGAGAGTTCCAATGTCGATCGACCCGGCCACCTTCCATAGTCTCCAACTGATAAGTGCCCGGTCTGACAATTGCTTTTACACGATAGGGCCCTTCCCAGTTACGTGCCAGCTTGCCCCTCTCATTAGGCTTACTAGCACCCCTTCTGCGCAAAACTTCATCATGCACTTGGAAGTATCGCGGGCCTACCCGCTTGTCATGATACCGTTTTACTGACTGCTGGTAACCGGCCATCTTGACAGCTGCTATGGTCCTTCGTTCTTCCACCAGATTTAGTTCAGCGAGGTGGTCGACCTCATTCTGACCGGGCTGGTAGACGGTTTCTCTAAATGTCGGAATTTCTGCCTCTACTGGTAACCGGGCTTCGCATCCATAAGTGAGCACGAAAGGAGTCTCTCCAGTTGCTCTTCTTGAAGTCACTCTATGCGCCCAGACCGTGTGAGGCAAGGCTTCTAACCACTTGTGTCCTTCCTCACCCAGCCTCTTTTTTAGACCGTCCACAATTGTCCGGTTAGCGTTTTCGACTTGGCCATTTCCCTGTGGATATGCTACCGAGGCCTTGCTGTGCTTGACCCCGAAGCTAGCAAGGTACGCAGTGAACCGAGGATTGCGAAACTGTGGACCGTTGTCGGTGACAATGATTTTTGGGGCACCAAACCGGGTGATAATGTTCTTCCAAACAAATTTCTCACACTGCCGTACGGTTATGGTGGCCATTGCTTCAGTCTCGATCTATTTAGTGAAGTAATCAATAGCCATCATCACGAATTTCTTTCCGCCTTGGGCAACCAGGAAGGCTCCAATAATGTCAATTCCCCACCGGGCAAATGGTATGGATGTTTGTAAAAAACCTGGCACGTTCTACATCTCTGGACATACCTTTCACAATCCCCAACAATGGTCGGCCAGTAGTAGCCTAGCAGGATTATCCTTTGAGCTAAAGTGCGGGACATTTGATGGGCTGCACAAAGTCCCTCATGCACCTCAGCTATTACCCGTTCAGCCTCCGGGTTGGTCAAGCAACGCAAGAGTGGTCCGCCAATGGCACGTTTGTATAGATGACCATCGATTACCTGGAATCGTGGAGCCCGTAGGACTACTTTCCAGGCTCGTTCCTCGTCATCTGGCTTCTGACCGGTCTCCAGATACTCCAAGAGTTCATACCTCCAGTCATCATCTGCTCCGATTATCCCGGTCGCTAAAGTCTGGCCGGGTTGGATGGCCGCGACTTCAAACCGGTCTGTACTCGGCACGTCCAGGATCTCAATTTTCGCCAACTTTGACACATGCTCTGGGCAAGCTTGCGTCAATTTTGAAAGCATATCTGTATCAGCGTTTTCCAACCGGGGTATCCTAGTCAGACGAAACTCTTCTAATTCCCTTAGAAGCGCTCGGACAAGATCAGTATACCGGGCCAGGCGATCCTCTTTTACTTCCATCTCACCATAGACCTGTCCAACCACTAGACTTGAGTCGGAACGGATCTTCATCCTTTTTATTCCGAGTGTCCGGGCTAATCTGAGGCCACCGGCCAACGCCTCATACTCCGCCTCATTGTTGGTGAGCTTGAAGTTAAAGATCAAGGCATGGTAGATCTTGAATCCTTCCGGGGTAGTGAAGACTACGCCGGCCCTGCATCCCTTCGGTCCATAGGCTCCATCAACGGCCATATCCCACCACGGTTCGACCGTATGGGAAGGTCCGGCTTCGGGCTCTAGACCGGTCAGTTCAACGAGGAAGTCTGCCAAAGCTTGACCCTTAATTGCAGTCCTTGGTTTATATTCTATTTTTAACTGAGTGAGCATCATCGCCTACTTGATCAACCTTCCCGAGGAGGTCGAATTTCGAAGGACCGGTCCAAGTGGCTGATCGGTCAGTACTTCCACAGTGTGAGCTTGGAAGTATGCGGCCAGTTTTTTGGCCGTTATGAAAAGCGCATTTGCCGTTTTCTCAATGGCAGTGTACCGGCTTTCAGCCCCATTTAGTGCTTTGCTCACATAGTAAATAGGCCTCTGGCCGTCTTCATTTCTTATCAAAACAGAGCTTACAGCGTTTTGGAAAATTCCCAGATACAAGTACAAAGTCTCACCCGGTTTGGGCTTTGATAAAACAATATCAGAGACTAAGTACTCCTTCAGCTGCTGGAAAACTTCCTCGCACTCCTGGTCCCACTCGAATGTGTTGGCCTTCTTTAACACTTTGAAGAAAGGCAGAGCCCTCTCAGCAGACTGGGAGAGAAAACGGCTCAAGGCTGCCAGCCGCCCGGTAAGTCGTTGTACGTCCTTTAGCGAACTGGGCGACCTCATTTCATCTCATTTCACTTATGGCCTTGATCTTCTCCGGGTTTGGCTCAATACCACGCTTGGTCACCATGAACCCCAGAAACTTACCGGTCTTTACAGCGAAGACGCATTTCTTGGGGTTGAGACGCAAGTTGTACTTTGCCATAATCTCGAAGCAAAGCCTCATGTCGGCCGGGTGGTTCTCCGCACCCGGGCTCTTGATCAGCATGTCATCCACATAGGCCTCCATGCACTTACCGAGGAGAGGCTTAAAAAGCCGGTTTACCATCCTCTGATAGGTGGCGCCCGAGTTTTTTAGCCCAAAGGCCATCACCCGGTAACAATAAGTGCCTTCAGGTGTTAAGAATGAAGTCTTCTCCTCGTCCTCCTCGGCCATGAAGACCTGATGATAGCCTTTGAAGGCATCCATGAAGCTCAGCAACTCACACCCGGCCGTCTCATCGACCATCTGATTGGGACTGGGCAACGGGTATGAATCCATGGGGAAAGCCTTGTTCAGATCCGTGTAATCCACGCACATGCGCCAGGTATCGCCTTTTGGAGCCAAGACGACGTTAGCCAGCCAGGACGGGTACTGTACCTCCCGTATGTGCCCGACCGCCAACAAATCCTTCACCTCTTTTTTCACAAAGTCCCTCCGGACGTTCGCCAAGTGCCTCTTCTTCTGTTTCACAGGCCGGCTCCGTTCCATCACAGCCAAACGATGGAATATAACAGAGCGGTCAATGCCCGGCATGTCCGCCACACTCCAGGCGAAAATATATGCATATTCCCGAAGAACTGAGATGATTTCATCTCGAAGTCCTCCGGGCAGATCTCCTCCAATTCGTACCATTCTTTCTAGGAAAGCTTCCCGTAGAACAATCTGCTCACTTTCATCGCCCGGTTCTAGTTTCGACCGGTCTTCCTCCTGAGAGACCAAAGTGACTCTCTCAAACGCCTTTGTCATTTTCTTTACAGCTTCCAAATAGCAATGCTGGGCCTTCTTTTGATCCCCTCTGACTTGTCCTATACCGCCCGGGGAATAGAATTTCATACAGAGATGAGCCATGGAGATGACCCCACGGACTATGTTTATTCCAGGCCGGCCCAGAATGGCATTGTGAACACAGTTGATGTTCACGACCACAAACCTCATTTGTTTTTGGACGACCTGGTCGCCCGTGCCCAGTTCACAGGTTAGAAGGATCGACCCTTCAACTTCGACTGAGTCCCCGGTAAACCCAGACAGGGGAGTCTTTAAGGGCTCAAGCCGTGTTTGACATAACTTGAGCTTCTCAAATGCATCCAAGTACAATACGTTAACACTACTGCCCGTGTCAACGAGTACCCGGGAGACATCAACTCCACCCATGTCCATAGTTATCACCAGGGGGTCATTGTGATCTTCTCCGGTGGCGGGAAGGTCCCGGTCATTGTGATCTTCCCCTTCTGGTCCGCCGTAGATGACTTGCAAGTGCTCCTTACCAGCTGTTTTCTTCTTTTTGTTTTGCTCGGCCGGTTGTCCTTCAGGTCTGACCCACTGGTTCTTCTTTTGCTTGGCCTGAGCCAAATATTCCGGATCAATCTCACCGGCCTCAATCATCTGTTTTATTACTCCTTTCACACTGTTACACTCTGCAGTGTTATGGGAATCAGTTTTGTGAAAGGAGCAATACTTCTCCGTCTATTGTTTTTCGCCGGTCGGTTTCTTTTCAGATTTGACCGGCTTTACCTCCATTACTTCTGCTCTTATCTTACCGGGCAATGCAATTTCCTTTTTCAAGGAAATTTTTTCCTTTGAATGGCCCTGCTCGGCCTCCCTCTTAGATGACACCTGGGCTTCAGCGTCAGCATAATCCCAGGCTGTGTTGTAGGCCTCTTGGTAGGACTAGGGAGGCCTCCTGCAGAATTCCTTATACAACTCTCCGGATCGGAGCCCGGACACAAGGAGGGACATGGCTGTTTTGTCGTCCATCTCTTCCACCTTGTCAACCTCATCCTTCCACCGGGTAAGGAATTTTGTCAGATCCTCGTGCTCTCGTTGCCCGGCTGTACTCAAGTAGGTAAATTTTTTCCTCTTTGTACAGTTTTCTTTGAACTTTTCTTGAAACACCTCAGCCAGTTCATCGAAAGAGTCGATTTCACTGGCCGGTAAGTTATGAAACCACTCAGCGGCGTGGCCGCGAAGGGTTTGAAAGAAAAGCAAACATTTCTCATCCCCGGAAAGACCCATTATCCGCCCGCTTTGATGGAGAGTTTTGACGTGAATTTCCGGGTCCTCCTTCCCGGTGAACTTCGGGACCTCGAGTTTTGCCTTCTTTGGAAATGGGGTTTCATGAACCCGGTCTGTGAACGGAGATTCGTTCAGCAGGATCTTCTTCTTTTCTTCCCGGTCTACCCGGCGTTGTAGTTTCTCCAGACGTGCCTCGACCCGGCCCACACGATCCCGAGGTTGTTCAACATGAGAACGGGTCGTGTGCCTGGGGTGGCTTTCGGCTTCTTCCTCTCGCGGCGCCCGGCTGTGCTGGGGCTCATCGCGTGCGGGTGGTTCCGTTCGCCTGGTCTGACCAGGTCGTCCGGCTCCTCTCCCTGCACGATTAAAGGTACTAGCTGGGATGGTTTCTACCCCAAGCCGCTCTTTTGCTAACCAGTTCTGATTTCGGCCATCATGGCCAAGTCTCTGAAAGGCCGACCTCCTGGACCCTTCAGGTTGGACAGCTTTTCCCTTCAACTTCTTGAGTGATTGGGGAACGTCCCAGTCCTCATCCTTGCTATGGACTGAACGCACATCCCCATCCAAGGTCACCTTTGTCTAAGACCTGCGGGACCGGCTCCTTCTGGACCGGGATGGACCTGCTTTATCCATCTCCCCGATTAGGTTTGTCAGGAAGATCGGGCGAATGACGTTAGTTTGAGGCGAGGATTGTGGGTACAATCCCGGAATGAAAGGTGAAAATCCTCCCGGTTGCTGAAACATGGACATGAAATGTCCAAAACTCTGAAGAGCCTGGGAATACATCGGATCCATGGGTCCGGGGAAATTGGGAGGGAAAACAAGAACAGGGTTCACGGGGGAAGTGAATGGGATAGGTGGTGTGTTGGAATGCATGAGTTCAACCCTTTCTGTGTTGTTAAGTGTTGACTCACAGGTTTTGATAATTGACAAACACAATTTATTCAAGTAAAGATCAAAAGGCTACAACGACAAATACGAAGACTTGAAGTGCCATTTCTTGAAGTATTCAAGAAGGTGCACAGGATTTTATTGAAGTCTGAGACGCGTTCAGAGCGCCTAACGGAGGACTCGGAGGAGTACAAGATTTCCGAAGACTTTTTATTTATTTGAGTCGTAGGAATTATTGTAAGGATGACAAAAATATCTTCTCTCCAAAATTATTTTTATGAGAGTTAAAATAAAAATTATATTTATTTTTGGAGTCAGTAGAAAAATCTTTTTAACTGTTCAAAATAGTTTTATTGAGTCAGTCACAAAAGGTGTGCCAAACATTTATCAAATATTTATTTTGATATTATAAAAATATTTTTTGTCAGCAAAAATATTTTATTCAAATATTTTTTGTGTACATCGTTTGACACACAAAATATTTTTTGGACTCACATTTTACTCCATTATTCAAATTCATTGAATAGGAGATTTTTTTTGAGGAGCGTGCTTGCTGATTCCCGTTGTCTCAAACAACGAGTTTAATCCAATTTGCTTTCAATCGCAACTGGCTTGGGCCCTTTGTGTTTGTGAATCATTTCGCATCTAATCGATTAAGTTTCTCACCTTAATCGATTTTATCCAGTTAATCGATTAAATGCTCTTGATTAATCGATTAATCTAGTTTTGCCTTGCGAAGAATTGTTCTGGTCTTTGGTCTAATCGATTTTCCTCTTGCCTTTAATCGATTAGTTCACACAGAGCCTTCTAATCGATTAATCCCTTTAATTTAATCAATTTTCCTTCAGCTGCATTGATCGTTGCTGATGATGCATTAATCGATTATTGGTGATGCATTAATCGATTATTATGCTGCATCTTTTCTGCACAGCTTCTTTTCTTGGACCAACAGATATATTTCTTCACCTCCTATTTAAGCATCCTTCCTTGGTCANGAAAACTATTTGTTTTTAAGAGAGTGTTTTGTCATCCATTAGAGCTTTAATCATTTCTCTTATCTACTCTTTTGAGAGCTATTGTTGAGAGGTTGAAGAAGATTGTTCTTCTTGTTGTTCAAGGCTTATGTGATTTAAGTCTTGGTTGTGAAGTCTTGTAGAGGGCATATCTACGAGCGGTTGTGTCGAGGCTTGTGGGATTCAAGTTCTCGAGTTGTAAACGGTTTGTTAAGCACCCGTAAGCTTAACGGAAGTAGTGGTAGCTTCGAGAGAGTCTCTCGGGGAACTGGACTAGCCACGAGGTGGTGAACCAGTATACATCGGTGTGTTCTTTGCCTTCTCTATTTTATTTCCGCTGCACTTACGTTTATATTATTAATCCTGCGAAAATCGGTAAACATTCTCAACAACTCTATTCACCCCCCTCTAGAGTTGCACGCCTTGTCTAACATGGTGGAATGGTGATAATGGGGGTAGGAATTTGGCTTGATGGTTGGGTACTTCCTCCCGGGAACGAAATGACATTCTCAGCGGGAGTAGATATTTGTGAGATGACAGTTTCCTGATTGCTTGCCATGACTTTTGTAATAGGTCCCACGGGTGGCGCCAATTTGATGGTGTAAATTACCACGCAAATGCTAAGTATAAGTAATCGGAAGGGCTGTAGGTGGAAACACCTGTAACCCGGTTTGTTAATGATAATAATACTAAGACTATTACAAAGTACAAGCCGTACAGATTAATTAAAGCCTCCCCCACAAATGAGGATTTTAAGGGTATTTATAACAAAATTAAGCACGTCTCTGGTTATCCAACCGGTCAGCCTTCTGACCGGTCCCATAAGAGTACTTGGAGAACGTTTTTATAGTTGCAGGCATTCAGTCCTCAACCAACCGGCCTCACGACCCGGTCTATGAGCGATGCGCCCTGTCACTTCAATCACCACCCAGTCGGACGAACCAACCGGGTGGTATCCATGGGTTATTACCCATCACACACATATATTCAATATTTTTATACAATAATAACACTTATACTGCGTGCCAAGAAATGTCAATATAAAATACCAAAACACACTACTCCGTATACGGTGTCAACAATTTTAATTATGTAAAATTCACTCTTAAAATAGAATTCTATAGAATTTTTTTTTGTCTAGGCCAGGGCATGTTTATGAATAGCTCAACGACAAAATTTATTGTTGTGGTTCGTGTTTGATATAAAAAGGGGAAAGCGTCGTGAAAGAAGATTTTTCAAAGTTTTAGATATGCTTCACTCTCGTCAAAACTATGAATACCGACAACACGTTTTATATACGCTTCACCCTCCATCGTCAAATTTATGCACACCGACCGGCCAATAATGAAATATGCCTTTGAATCAAGTTAACGAATAAAAACTCTGGCCAAGCAAATCGATCGCATTGGATTTGATACTAAATAGTACTAAAATATATGTTTTTTTTTAATGTAGTACTTAAACTTTTTTGTTTTCTAAATAGTATTTCAACAATGTTTAGTGGCAGAAATATTATCTAGTGATGGTAGATGTTTAGTTGGCGTTGGACATTTACTTGAACAATGACCACTAGACATTAAACAATGATACTATATTAGGAAATAAAAATATACTCCGAGTATAATATTGCATTGGAAAAATCACTATGTTTTAGTACTATTTAGATAAATTTTCATTTAAAATAAGCTCCAAATGTGTATTTAAGTAAATACAGAAATGTTTGTTTCACGCTTTAAATCATTTAATATAACTTTTACCTTTTCACAAACTTATCACACTTTCAAATACCTCAAAATTTTTTGACACCACCATTGATTCCATGCTTTGGGTAGATCCACACATACAATAACTGTCGATGTTGTAGCCGACAATTATTATCTATGCAAAACATATGGCCATTGACTCCATGCATAGTAGTTCCGGCCCTGTTTGGCATCATATTAGAGGTTAGCGTTTTGAAAAAACTATCTAACGGTTATCTTTAGCGTTAATATTGTTCAAAATTAATTAACATCATTAAAATTTTATCTAGAACGCTAAAAATAATTCAAAATGCTGTTTTCGAACAAGACCGTCAAATGTTTTGGGTTACCTTAACACAACCAAAAAAATGTTCGAATTCGAATTGATCCAACAAAACTACAGTACTCCATAATTCCCAAGACCAAGACCACAAATATTATTTCATACTACGTGTTATCTGCCCTCTCATAGAATCCTTCAACGTATTACGTATATGTCCCCTCCGAAGTTGTCTATATAAATCCAATACCCAATTTTTTAAGTTCTTAGTTTTAAATACTGAATTCTTCTCTATATGCCAAGACAAAAAAAACAGGGGAGCTCTGAGAACACTTCTTCGATGGGGAAGATGATGGCCACAAAGATCGAATTTGTGGCGTTTGCGGTGTTCCTAGCCGCCGTCACGGTGAAGACGTCGATGGATAAAGCTCACGCCGCCGTTCATATTGTTGGCGGCGCAGCGGGTTGGACGGTCCCTAGTGGCGGCGCCTCCTATGTAGCATGGGCTTCCAACCGTACCTTTTTAGTTGGCGATACTCTAGGTGAGTTCTCCCTCCATCTCTACACTAAATTGTCAAATTAAACTATTGAAATACTCCGTATTTGCACTAAATAGCATTAAAACTTAAGTCATTTCTTTAAATAGCACTTAAATTGTTTTATTCTATAAATAGCACTAATACTTCAAGTTGACCACATGTGTGCACCTTCTTTTTATACGAGTGTGATGGTTCACAGAACCACAAAATGTTACTGTAAATTTTTTTATTATAATAACATTTTTTGTCAATGTGAACCATCAAAATATTGGTGCATAAATATATTGGTGTAAATTTTGGGGTACACTTCTTTAAGGAGGAGTGTACTCCTAACAAGGTTGTAAATTCTCACTTTTTTTATGTTTAAATTAAGTTAATTTTAATTTAATTTATATTGAAATCCTATATCAATTGTCCTCATCTGGTAATCTAAACATCATGTGTACCAAACATGTTTGACTTGTGGGTAGAAATATTTTTTTTCAATTTAATTTATATAAAAAGTGTTTTAAAATATACGATATGAGTGTAAATTGGTAAAAAAAAAGCAAATCAATTTTTTAAAAAATATGATATTTACCCATCTATAGAGGCAGACAAGCCTAATCTTTGAAGGTCTCCTCATACTCAGATAGACGGTCTCTAAGAAGAGGTAAATTAGATTTGGAGTGTAGATTTGTTGCAAATGGTGGAACCTGTACCTGATATTTGCTAAGGCCTTATGTTTAGCATAGCTGCCTCCCAGCATAGTTGTCATGAACTGAACTCGGGTCTTACCTCTTGGGCATTTCTTACCTTTACCAATTTCGCAACATTCACCGACATAATAAATTATAAAAGCATAGAAGGTAACAATGTATATTTATCAAATCACATACTACCTCCGCCCCAAAATATTTGTCCAATTTTGACTTTTTCAAGTCAACCATTTTCAATCTTTGATTTATAATTAAATAAAATATATATTGTATTTTAATTGGATAAAATAATATTTTAAAAATATATTATATGATAAATTTAATAAAACTATTTTTGTATCACTATCTAATACTCCGTATCATTTTTATTAAATTTAGAGTTAAAATTTACCAATTTTGACTGAAAAAAGTCAACAGCTCCGTCCTGAAGTATTCGTCCCCTTTTGACTTTTGAAACTGTTCATCAAAGTACTTTGACTCATCAAATTCTCTCAATGTGTAAGCCTAAATATAGTTATGTGTGATCTTGTTTGATTTGTCTTAACATATAGATTATTAATATATAATTTCTATAATTTTTTAATATACAAATTACAAGATAAAATGGATTAAAGAAATCTATTGGATGGTGTGTAAAAATGAAAGTGAACAAATACTCTAGGACGGAGGGAGTATTATATATGTAATATGTGTAAGGTTTTGATTTAACAAATACAAATACTTTTTGCATACTTTTTGTCTTTAAACAAAAGTAATATGATGCTTTTCGAAATGTCCCAAAATTAACTTTTTTGTGTTTAAATTAAAGCAATATGATGCTTTTCGAAATGTCCCAAAATTAACGCTTTTTTAATGTCGCATTCCAATATTTTTTTTTAAATTATGTGAAATGATCAATTATTTCTCTTTGCAATGGAGGCCACTTAGGGAGAAATATTGTTTAGGGGTATCTTATTAAACACGAGTATGTTTCATGACGAGTATAGATGCAAACCAAAACGTGTTTGCGGCCATGCCTTAAAATTGAAACAAAAAATTTGATGGAAAATTAAAAAAAAAATAGTGCCTTCAACTTTAGAAATTAAAACTACATCCAAATAGATTTTATTGATGGTTTCTGATTTGTAATTCCATTCTATTAATTCTTATGCTTTGATTGTTATGTTGAAGTGTTCAACTTTGCAACCGGATTCCATGATGTAGCAAAAGTGACAAAGAGTGCCTATGACAAGTGCAACACCACAACTCCTAACTCACTTTTAACGGTTGCCCCAGCAAATATTGTTCTAAATTCTGCTGGTCAACATTACTTCATGTGCACTTTTAGTCAGCACTGTCCCTTGGGTCAGAAATTGGCCATCACCGTTTCTCCTACCTCCCCCTCTCCCTCCATTCCAAGCCCAAGCCCAAAACTGCCCCCGAAATCTGCTCAAGGCCCAATCCCAAAAACACCTCAGACACCCACTCCGAGCTCAAGCCCATCTTCGAGCTTGACTCCAACAAGAAATCCAGGGTCAAGCCCAGCACCAATGCCTCACCTGAGCCCAAGCCCAAAATCAAACCCGTCTCCGGCTCCAATCGCAATAGGAAGTCCAAGTTCAAGCCCAACTCCAACAACGAATCTAAGCCCCACCCCAACGGAGAGTCCAACGTCAAGCCCAACACCAACAAGAAATTCAAGGTCAAGCCCAACAACAGCACCACTTCCAAGCCCAACCCCAAAATCAAGCTCGTCTCTGGCTCCAATCACAATAGGAAGCCCAAAGTCAAGCCCAACTCCAACGAGTCTGAGCCCAACCCCAACTCAAGCTCTGAGTCCAGCGTCGTCAAGCCCAACACCAACACCTAATTCTTTGAAAACTCCAACTCCTGGCCCTAGCGGAGTGAGTGCGGGCCCACCCGTAGTGGCCAGCTCGCCCGGAGCTTCTCCATCACCCAAGGGAACAACTAATGAGGTGTCACCTCCGATGTCTCCTAGCTCTGCTCCCATAAGAGTTGTCACCACTTTGTTTGCTCTGGCTATACCTATTATTGCCATTGGTGTCATATGTTAAATTGAATAAGGCACAGTCTTAATATGGCTAGGAAATTTTGTGTACGTGAGATTGTTAGTGTTTGAGTTTGTATTGCTATAATATTATACGCTCCGTAGTTGTATGTACACAAAATGCATGAGTGTGTGTGAAGTCATCTTTGTACTTTTTTTTTTACATTCTGATGTTTTGATTGATCGAAGGAGCTAGTTAATAAATAATCCCTCCATTCATATTTATGTGTCTGTACCGTTATATGTGTCGAACATTTGACTAATTATATGCTCATGGTGTAAAAATATTATACAAAATTATTGATTTTAATATTCTTGCTAATATATTTTAAGTGATTGATTATTGGTCAAACTTTTAGTTAAAAAGTGAACCGGACAGTTACATAGGAATGGAGGAATTGGCAACAAAGAAGGTTTGTTTAATTTATTGCTTTTAGTGTTTTTACATTTGGCAGGGTTTTATTATAATTAATGTGCTCTCGTGTGATGCATGAGAATATATTGAACTAAAAATTAAAGTAAACAATATAACAATGTTCGTTTTATTAAAATATAAAATGATAAGTGAACATAGCATGATGAATTCTATGTACTCTGTAAGAAAGAAATCATAGATTTTATAGAAAAAGAATATAATAAGGGGAGATATAGATATATATATATATATATATATATATATAACTTAATACTCAGTGTAAAGGATGAGCAGAATGTGTTGGTGACAAGCAATCAAAAGGAATTTTACCTTGTCAACGTCTGGAATTCAGTTAATTGAACAAAGCTCAAAATTACCAAAGTTACTCCCAAATTAAATTTGGTATCATTTTTTTTATTAGGCCATTACCTAGTGATGAAATTTTTCTTTTAGTAAATCTATATTGAATTTGATATTTTGGGTTGATTTTGCTATTTTACCTTTTTTTTGTAAATTTTGACTAAAAACTCTACTTTTCGGATAATACGGTGATCCGATCCGAAAAATCGGATATCCAAAATTCGGATATCCGAAAATATTTTCGGATCGGATATGGAATGAGGTTTACGTGATCCGAAATTTTCGGATATCCGAATTTTCGGATCGGATCGGATCGATCTGATTGAACACCCCTAATTTTAACCAAGTAACAATCAATCACACAATTACTTCCAGTTGCACTTTCTCTCCCCAAGCTTCTCACAGAGTTGAAGTGATCTCTCACCCCAGGATCCCAGTGATTCTTCATTTGTGATCTCATTGAGAGTTGCAGAATGCATCATGCTGCTCTCTCCTCCATTGTTTTAGAAAGAGTAATTTATTTTTCAAAATAGTCCAATTTTTCTGTGAGACGGAGATATGTTATTTTTTAAATCAGTTGTTTCAATCCCGAGAAAAGAATACTCCATAAAAATTCTACCGTGAAACAACAAGCCAGTCTTATCCCATTAAGTGGGATGAGCAACAAATTCCAACCTCAAACAGGCACAAAAAAAAGATCTTATGACACAATCTTGCAATAACTAACTTATCCTAGGAAAATACTACTGTAATTCAACTTTCATAATATATCCAAAACAAATGACATCAAATTTTACGACACATTCTTGCAATAACTAATCCTAGTAAAATATTGTTACAATTCATAATATATCCAAAACAAATAACAATCCAGTAAAATCGCACGAGAAAAGGATGAGCACAATGAGTTGGTGACCAGCAATCAAAATGAATGTTACCTTCTCGATCAACATCTGAAACTCAGTTGAATCGAACAAAGCTCTCATAAAGTGGAACCATCATTGGATGTTTGATTGTATAAGTCGTAGACCAATGGACACCAAGATACTTCAACTTTCCAGTATCGCGGTCAACCACAACTAGTTCATCAGTCCAGCTTGCAAAATACAATAGCTTACCATCGGGCGAAAACCATAACGGCTCCTTAACCCCACGAGTTCGGATTATAGATTCCATTGTCCACGATCCATCCCTCATAACCCAAAGTTCGTATTTCCAAGGTGTATACGGAGGGTAACCCTTTTTATGACTCCAACATTCAAAAGCACTTAACAAACCTTTGTACTCTAGAAAATAATAACGGTGCCAGCTATTGTTAGGTGCGGGTATACTGGATAATGTTTCGGTGGCAAAGTCAAATGAAAGGATGGCGTGACTCTCTTTAAGATATGCTTTGCAGTAAAAAACACCAGATATGCAAGCACAAGTAGACCCATCAAAACCAACAAACTCAGTGCATGGTATTCTCTTCCAGGAATTAGTCTTGAGTGAATACAAGTCAATGTGATAACTACTCCCAAGAAAATTCCGTTTTTCATCTTCCAAGCGTGCATGAACAAGATTCAGCAATTTGTAGTCTTCAAATCTATGGTCAGACCACATTCCAAATGACTGACAAACATATGTATGGTGAGGAGGGGCTTCCACAAAGAGCTTAGGGAGGATCTTATACTCACCCGTTGTTGGGTTCCACAGAACATGACCAGACATTCTATCATGAAAATGAAATAGACCATTACAACTGCCCCTAGTGAAGAAGTAATTTTTCGTTAGAAAACTGGGAGGATACATGCAATATTTGGGTGAGATGGTGCCATCCTCTTCAAGGGAATATGCAACAAGACATTTAGGAAGATTGTCTTCAAGGGAATACACAAAAATGTCAGGCTTAGGCTTAGGGCAGATGTCTGCCTTCCAATGTTGTAAGCTTGATGACAATGGTGTACATTTTCTCTCATATATGACGAGAAAATGAGGTTCCCCATAGTAACCTACACAATACAAATGGAAACATTATATGAACTTTTTCAGATTTGACAAAAATAAAACATCTTGTAATGGTCAAACAGACTTATGATGGTATATAGCTAGTGAGGAGATTAATGATGAGCTCAGCTACAAGAGTTTACTAGCTGAGCTATTGTATGCTTGCTTCTTTTCCACATTAGTTTATTATTATTATTATTATTATTATTATTATTATTATTATTGTTGTTGTTGTTGTTGTTGTTTTCATTTCATCAATTTTTCCTTTTTTGTTCCACGACTAAAATCCACCATTAGTCATTCAACTTTGTAAGCAATGCATGATTGGTTCTTCAAATTTCAAAAGTCCATAAATAATACTTCAAGTATTCAAGAACCTCCAAATGCAGTCCTTCAACTTTCAAAAGTCCATAAGTACTCCTTCAAGTAGTCATCTACCCTATAAATACAGTTTTTTATGGTATACGTTAAAAGCTAAACAAAGTACTAGCTCCATATATATAACTATATATAACTTCTGCCACGGTGCCAGATGCAACTTCCGACTTGCAATGGGTGCCCGCCACTAGCCCCCTCCTCTGAGTAGCTAAGCGGGTCTTTCCCTCCATTGCATAGTTGTTACGGCGGCTAGGCGAGGCTGGGCGCTAGAGCACCTTCCGGTCGCCTAGGCGATTAGGCGTCCGCTGGGCGAGTAGGCTATGGCGACCATAATAATTTTATAGGTACTAATATTAAAGCATATAGTATGAAATAATTAATTAAAATGAACACTAATATATACACACACACACAAGCCTGGCCTATTTAATTTGGGCCTTATACTCCTGTGGGTCCAATAGTCTATTAATTAATCTAGCCCAGTTATTTGACTTTTTGACCTAGTCCACTAGTTAAATAATGAGAGATGAAAAGAGGCAGTAGAGTCGCAGATCTGGAAACCTAAGCCGCACCACGACAAATAATCGGCGAGAAAGATAAGTCTTCTCTCCCTCTCTTCTTCCGTCTTCTCTCTATCTCCTCCTCCGTCTTCTCTCCCTCTCCTCCTCCGTTCCATTGCGCTTCTAAAATGGAGACGCTTCTTGAAGATGGACTGTACAACACAGTCGCCCAAGGAAAAAAAAGCTAGGCGACCAATTAGGCGTCCACAAACCCTCGCCCAGACGCCTAAGCGTCGCCTAGGCGACGCCTTGATAACTATGCTCCATTGTAAATGTTGGGGATAATATTACTTTCGAAGGGGTTCAATTTGTATAGTAAAGGACAAAAAAATTTGATTGCAATTTTGAAAACCCATTAATTCCCTATAGGTAAAAATCAATTACCTACGTAAAGGTACAAGTACTTCGTATTATATATATGGAGCAAGTAATCCATTTATTTGTTAGGAATCAGAGATCAGAGGCGGTCAAGCGGAAGCGAACAAACACACACACACACACACACAAATAGCAGAAAATAAGAACACGAGATTTAACGTGGTTCGGTCAGTAAACTACTCCACGGGTTGCAACTAGGGTTTATCTTTTATTAGGTGCTCACAGATTATAGTTACATGATTGGGTATTTATAAGATATAAATTAGGGTTAACAACTTGCTAAACAAGAAACAACTAATGGGCCCTTTAATTAATAACTAAAACCGGCCCCCCATATTTCTTCTCTTTAACCGACCGGGCTTAAAGCCCAAAGCTCTAAAGCCTTCACCGAATAACCCAACA